TTTGATACAGAAATTAGCATAGCATATAACATAGCCTTTATCTAAAGCAGTCACTAGTTCCAGGTGGTAAGAGTACCAGTGTTTGATCAAATATCTATGTATAACATTCTTGCTGTATAAATCTTTTATTATTTCTCGGATGTTTTGAAGCAAAACGTTTTAAGTGGATTTTGCCATGCAAACATAAGAAGCTCTCCGGCAGTGGCTCATTCAGTAGGGCAGTGACCATCAACTGGTGGCCCGCGGGCCACATCCGACCCGCACAGCGGGGGTGACTGTGGCGTTGGCGGAGTGGTTAGTGTGTTCGTTTTTTACGTCTCGTGAGTAATGTGCAGTACCGGAGTCCAACAGAGAGGCAGCAGCTGACTGCAGCAGCTGACTGCAGTAGCCTGCGTACGTAGCTTTCCCTGCCCTGAAGAAGAAGTGATCCTTCGTTAGCGCGAAGAGTCTGCTTTATGCGTTTATGCGTTCCCCAGCAGTACCCCCGCTGCGAGGCTCCGGCGACTTGACAGTACATGAGCGTGCTCCACTAGCACCAACAGCTGCCCACTGCTCCTAGTACTAGACTCCTGGTACTAGGATGGGTTAAAAGCAGAGAAACATTTCACTGTGTGTGCTGTGTGACCATTAAAGACAGTGGCGGCCGGCCCATAGGGGCAATAGGGGCGCCGCCCACCCTCTTCCCACATGTTTGATTGTCATTAAAAATAAAAAATAAATAAAAATATATATTAAAAAATAAATATATATTTATTTATTTTTATTTTTAATGAACAATGTAAATATTATATAGTTGGTATCAGTAAAATGTATAATCTACAATAAAATCTCGTTTAAAATTGTTTTACGATGTCTAAAGTTACTGATAAGTCACATGTTTCCTGCCTGGCCGCAGCGTGTATCATTACCCTCTCTCGTCCGGGCGGTAAGAAAGGAGCCCTCAGCCAGAGCAGCAGCAGCCAACAAGCTGACTGTTGCTATCTGTAAACTATGCCGCCGAAACATAATTTCTGCCAATCAGGGTCGTCAGATCTGATGCTCAAAGGGCGCCCTGTCAACGCCCTGGCCTGTGTGTCTGTGAGTTGTTTGGACTCGTATCCAAGGTGACGCTACAGTAGTTATCTGCAGGTGGAGACTCCGGTGTTAGTGGATCGCCGGAGCTGTAGATTAACATTTACATGCTTATTGTAGTTGTAAGGGCAATGCCTGTAGCACCATGGAGCATATGTGTAGGCTGGACCTGTATTTTACAGGAAAGGAGTGAGCAGAGGGTGGAGTTGTCGATTCTTGTTCAGTTGCTCGCGCTGCTAAAGAGACGCGCGGAAACCAAACAATGGTGTAGCTGTATTAAAGTCCATTAAAGTCCGAGTGGAAACAGTCGTGAGTAAATCTGATTTTGTTAGAAATCGGGAGAAATATGACCCCGGGAGGAAACCGGGGAGAGGGCAATCAAATCGGGAGGGTTGGCAAGTATGACACACACACACACACACACACACACACACACAACACACACACACACACACACACCACACACACACACACACACACCACACACACACACACACACACACACACACACACACACACACACACACATAATGTTCGTATTTAGTCTCCTGATTTTAAATGGGAATGAAATCATTTGAGTGTTCCCAAAGCACCAGTGTTCTGCAGTTTGTGTGGGCCTACTGTACTGTTGCACAGTTTTGGAAGATTCATAGCTAACCACACTGAAGATTATGGATTATCTCATATTTTTAAGCCTCAACTGTTGTTCAGTTCTCTGAATGTTATTCTATCTTTTAACCGACTGTCTTCATAAGAGTAGGAAATGTGTCGACAATGTAAAAATCTGTAGGGAATGAGAGATTATAGTGTGTTATACATTGACTGGGATTGACATAGTGGCATGTTTTAGAATAGATCTGTAAGGGAAAGCTCTCAAATCTGTGGAACGTTTTAATCTTGTAGTAATGTGCAGGGGCGCCGCCAGGGATTTTGGGCCCCATGAAAAGATATTACATTGGTTACTTAAACATTTTTTTATTAATGGTCTAAAATTGTTTGGGCTCCTGTCAGTCACGGGTCCTTAGAATCGTCCTAACTTTTCACCCCCTTATGGCGCCCCTGGTAATGAGGAGTCCTCAAAGTGTTGGGATTGGTGTTCCAATAAGATTTATATCCAAATATAATCATAATTTATTCGTTTTCTTAGTGATTTTTCCAAACATTAGTGGAGCCATGTGTTTATTTCACTGTTACACAGATTAGTCAGTGTAAACCCAATCAATAGAGAAGGTACAGTTCACTGCCTGATCAACTGTCCATTAAACAATATGCATATTAATGCTTCAATTATTAGTTGAGTCATTGGTAAGTTGATCAACAAAAACATCTGCCACTATTTAATGATCTGGTAGTTTTAACAAAAAATATGTGGTTGAAAATATTGCTGCTTTCAGGTTTTTAAATATGATTATGTAATGTGTTTTCCCCTAATGGACTTCTATAGCCTCTTTCTAGTCTTTCCAGCACTTCAGAGCTTTGCACTGCATGTAACCATTTACCCATTGGCACCTTGTATGGCTGCCATACAAGGTGCTAACGTGCTCATCATCTAATCTAAATCTCATTCACACACCAATGGTTATTCCTTCCCATGGGGATTGGAGGAGCAAACTTCCAGTCTTTCCATTTCTGGTCGAGCCACTTTGCGTCCTGAGGACTTACGTGATTGTGGAATTCAAAATCTTTAGTGTTTTGAATGTTGGTCAAAAATGTGTTGATGTGTTATCTGACAATTTACAACACAAAACAATTGGTAGATTAACCAATTATCAAAATAGCTGTTCATTATTTTTCATATAACATACTGAGCTCATTTACATTTTTCACAGAAACATTTTCGAAATTGAACGATCCATCTATTTGTGGTTTGTGATTCCTGGCATAGGGACAATAGGTACATCAGGGGTCACCAACCTTTTTTAGGGTGAGAACTACTTTCAAAAAATAAAACAAGTCGTGAGCTACTTTTTCTCCTCTTTTTGTTATTTTTTGCAGTGTATATATTTAGCACATTTGAACATTATTATATGCTGACCTTTAACCTTTGTGTGCTGTTTGGGTCTGTGGGACCCGTTTGCAGTGTTTACTAAAAGAACATGTATGCAATTTAATCATTTTAACCTGCTTTATTTGGGGGTGGCCCTCACCTCCTCTAGGGGGGTCCGGGGGCATGCACCCCCGGGAAGATTTTGTTTTTAAATGTTGAAGTGAAATGCATCAATCTGGTGCACTTTGAGCACAAAATAAATGTATGGATACAGCTCTCAACACTCAGATGAAAGGGAGCTGTATACTTTTCAATAATCCAAACATCTTTAGAATATGATCACAACCAATAACTAATCATTTAAACTTGTTTATTCTTATCTTATGTTAGCATTCTTTCTTTTTATTTATGCATATTTTACTAATCACTCTCCTTTTAAACTGTTTTACACTAGTACACATTGGAATGATTTCTTACATTAAATAGATAAAGGTGTGCTTTCTTTCTCTCTCGCTCACAGAGGCTGTGTGCTCCTCCGTGGCGATGACGGCTTGTGTTAAAAAATAAGAATAAACATATTTGTAAAGTGGGGGGACACAAACGGGATTTCGAAAAGTGGGAGGGGGACATGTCCCTCCTGTCCCCAGTGGACATTACGCCATGCGGTGCCGCTCTACATTGCTTTTCTTCCCGACTGCAACGCTGGTCCCGCAAATCAAGCAAGAACCCGCGGGCACCATGTTGGCTACCCCTGCTGTACATGGTACAAATATGTTGTTGGGTTTTTTCTAATTATATCAGAATTGTCTAAAGTTGCATGTTAGTTGATGAACGTGGCTTATTTCATATTATGCCTAAAGCCCTTATTTAACCAGTTGTAGTGTGTCCACAGCCTTGATATCCAGTCATGGCTCCAGTCATGTAAATCTCCATTTCTCTTCCAGCCAAACACTAAAGCAATACAGGCATTTTGTTAATGAAGACCCTGTACTTTGACCCAGAGTAGCCTACTAAACTGGGATGCAAGTCCACTGTTCAGTTGGAAGGGTTGTCATTTAGTAAAGTTTGGTGATGTAGAAAAATATAAAATTCATGACATAAACGTATCCCTTTCCATAAACATATGGTCCACATCTGTGTCATTAAACCCTTTTTACAAAATACATACATTAAGAGGTAACCTTTAGACTAACATTATTATTTTCTACTTTGAATCCTACAGCTCACTGAAAGGTTACTATACTGAATTTTAAACAATATAATAATCTACCTATTCTGATTTCCTTACCCAATGCATTTTACCTTCTTCTTTGGGATTCTTAATATTTCTCAAGTGTTAGGTTGGTGCCCTCTTGGTTTAACTCTTCACATAACTGTATGGGTGTTATCCCTAGATGAGGAGGTATTGAGTTTCACCAGTGTCTCGAAAGCCAACATTATTTCTGTACTCTGAATGTCTAGCTGCCTAAAAAGTTCCCAGAATACAGCAGCAACGCAAGTCTTTGCTCTCCCTGCTCACTAACTGGGGGAATGTCATCTTTCTAACTGTATCCAAAGAAGCAAACATCCATTGTCCTGGAATGAATTACTGGCATTCCTGCTAAACTTGTACAAAATGACCCATGTGACAACAAATATATATACAAATGAATGTGCCAAGACAACAGCTGTGCACGTTCTGGAACTTGTGGCTGAAAATGTAAGAACTTCAGAATAGCCACCTGTCCATTACAGTAAGAGATTCAGATTGGTTTGCCCTTCTCTAACTGAAGTGTAGTGTTTGGTAGGACTGAAAACCTGAAGTTTCACAAGACTGGATTCCACTGACATAAAGGAAACATTGGTGAGAAAAGTAAGTTGTGAAGAAAAGGGAGGCAACAGAGGGTGGGAGTGGGGGTGAATCGACTGGTGTTGGATTGGGAGTGGGGGAATTATTATTTACCTGTAAGAAATGGCAAGTGCGCTCCTGCTGCTGACTGCCCCTAGATTTGACTAGAGCTCTATCTAGGTTTAGGTTACCGGGTCCTGCGCTGGCTCGTAGCTGGTTGTGGCTGCTGTTGTTGGTGTAGACCTCTCGGGCCCTGCTCACCGTTAGGCTTGACGACCACGCCCCTTTCTTCACAAGGGGCCCGTCCACAAGACCCAGTGGCAGCAAGGAGCCACTTCCTCCAACGATACCGCCACCGCTGTTATTGCTGCTGCCACTAACTGGCACGCACGCCGACGACGCTGTGTACTTGACATCATTGTTGCTCCGGGAGACTTTGAGTGCAGAATGGTGGTGTGTGTGGCCGTGGTGTGCGTGGGTGTGTGTGTGCTCGTTGAGTGTGCCATAAGGGTCCATCATGAAGTACTGCTGGGACTGCGAAGAGGAGAGATTGGGGAGGGGACTCTGGGGATACTTGTCATGGTTTCTGCCGGGATAACGGCCCATTGTCATGGCGATGGGTGATGGGGACATGGAGGGTGAGGGTGAGGGTGGAGGTTGGTGATGGTGAGGGTGGTAGAGACACAGCTCCCGTTCTAGGTTGTCATCTGAGCTCCAGTACCCGGAGCCTGGAGCAGATGCCGAGCCGTGGAGCTGGTGGTGGTGGTGGTGGTGGCTTCGATGCTTGGGCTCTGCTGATCGACAACGCTCGCGGCTCTTGCTGCGCTTCCGGTGGCGCACTCCCCCTGGTGGAGTTTCACCCTCTAGGCTGGCCCTTGAACCACCACCACCACCTCCTCCACCACCAACACCACCATTAACGCTCCCATTATTGGCCCCCTTGTTGGATTGTGTGTGGTGTGGCCCCTCCAATGAGTGTGACTTGGTGAAGAGTTTCTGGACCGAGTGGACCAGGTGACGGATTCTCCCCGGGCTGTCATTGTTGATGTTGTTGGCCCCCATCCCCCCACTGTGGGCCAGCACTCCTCGTTTGTACTGCAGTGTGTGGTAGCCATCTCTGGAGAATGACTGCTGACGCTCAAACGGGTCCGCAAAGTTTGCCGGTACCCGGGTTGGCGTTTTACCTCCATAGCCCCCTCCACCACCTCCTCCCCCTCCTCCTCCTACATATGGTACCATGGCCAAACCCTCATCCTTTACCTCAGGATGGTGAGATGAGGAGGTGGAGTGGCACCTCCTTGGGAAGGTTCCATAGGGGACGATGCTGTTGCTGTCAGAGGGGTACGGGGAGCGCTGAGCATTGTAGTAGGCCAGCTCAGCTGAATGCGGCATGGGAATGGGCACAGGCATGTCGTTCTGACTGATTAAGTATGGCTTGCGGTCTACGTGGTGACCCAGTAGATCGTATGACGGTTCATAGGAGACCACGTGATGGTGACTCCGACTACTGGACAGGCCTTTCATGACAGGGGGAAGGATGGGTGGATGTGAAGAGGAATGGTATGGATGAGAGATGCCGGCAGGCCTGTGACCAGAGAAGGGCTGCAGAAGACTGTCCCTGAGAGGAGAGCTGCAGACTCTGGAAGACAGGAAGAGAGAGGAGCCATAAGACTGACAGGTAATGCAAGGCAACAAGTAACAGCCAATAACAAGTCAAACCATTGAAAATATTAAACCCCTCATTTAAAGATTGTTGCAGGAATGAATCTTTAAACTTTGAAATTATTAAGCATTTTACCACTTTGGGTTCCATCGTCTTGAAGGAAACAAATAAGGTCAGTGGTTAACACAAACTTAAGATATTTTTTCCGTTTTGATCTACAACAAAAAGAATATGTCAGTAAATACATAACTGGTGAAGGTCTGAAACATATCTGTGTCATAAAAATGTCTAGTCTGAGATAAGTCTAATTTAATCATTTCGCAACCGCTTTTTCATGGCAAACATTAGCCGCCTTTAGCTTAGCGGGGGTGAGGTGAAGTCATGTGACCATGAAGTACTTTATTTATAACGATAAATTCGCTTTTTACTTCTGGAGATTGCATTTAGCAGATCGTGTTCACACCGGAATAAGTCCCTGGGGGAGGATTAGTCAAATGAAGCCGCTGACGTCACTTCTTCTTTTTCTGCTTTGAGTTTACTGGCAGGCCGCAAACAACTTCACGGCGTATACTGCCGCCCAAAGTCCCCGGGAGTCTTCCCAGCAGCTTCTGAAGCCTTCCGAGTAAATCGCCAGAACGCTGACACCTCCTCATCTCCACCGCTCCCATGTTTTCTTTTGTGTTGCCATAAGTTAGTCTCTCTGCGTTTCTGCGCTGGGCTAATGCTAATGCTAATAATGCTAATGCGAGGAAAATAAAATGGCGGCTTCACAAAACTTTTTGGGAGTTTTACGGGGCGTGGTTTGCAATCCTTCCAGCCAATCAGAAATAGGAACCTTTTTCTCCCATGAAAGTACCTGCTCTCTAGCAGGGACTGAAAAGGGGGTGAAAAGGTTCTCATGAACTATTTGTGAATACAAATACAACTGATGTGCTGCATGATGTAAAACACAGTTAGTGCGTGGTGAAAGCTGGCAAGCTAAGACTTTTGAATTGGACATGACTGCACCTTAATAACTTGTAACACTGTTATTTTATTCAGATAAAACAGGAGTGCTTCCAACAGCCTGATCTAATGTTTGGCAAATGCTGTGTAGCGGCTTTAATCAACAAAGTTTCACATTTACAAGTGACATATTTCTTTAAACCTTTGCCTGCTATTTGAGCTATTGTGCATATTGACTTAATACGCACAACAGTAACAGTAATTTGTTAGCAGTAAAAAGCTGAGCTAGGCACCGTGTACACAGTTTGTGAAGAGAAGTATAGTTAAACATTAGTAATTACATTAGTAACCACAAAAGCACAGGTTGGCTTTGTCCCTAACCAAGAACATGTGTTTTATTTGTTTAGACCTCATTCATATCATCACCAATAACTCTGTATTGTTTAACTTCACTGTGGTTAGAGTTAAGTGAAAAAATGAACCAACATTTCGATGTGTTGTGAAACCATAACTTCTAAAGAGGACATGTTCTGGTCCTTTTCAGGTCTCATATCTGTATTTAGTGTTTCTACTGTGACATGTCTCCGTGCCTTAATGTTCAAAAAGCTCTTTATGTCCTACTGCCTGTGCTGCAGCACCTGTTTTCACCCTCTGTCTGTAACCTGTTGTGATTGGTAAAAGCTTAGAGATGTCCCGCCCTATAGCCTATCACGTACAACAAGTTGGAGCGCTAGCCAATAAAAGTGTTACGTAGTGATGTCACTATGACCTGGAAGTAAACAAATGACTCCAATCGGGGTGTTTCAGGCAGGGGGGGGGGAGTGGGTTGTAGAGAAACTCCATCTGGAGGGAACACAGGGATTTCAGCCTTTGCAGACCATGTACATGCACACAAACCTATAGAACACACTACAGGAAAAGGCAAACCCAGAATTAAATATCAGCAACTCAAGTCCCACACACAAAGGCTTAACAAAGAAACAAGCTGTTGTCTTTTACAATACCTCGAAACGTACACCAAACCTCTAAATTGTAAGAATTTGAACCAATCATTTTATTCATAAACAAAGGCAGCAAAGGGATGAAAAATATAAAAAATAGTATAGGAGTACTTTTTGAATTCAAATGATTCTCTTTCATTCCTTCAAGGTGTTCCAGGCCAACCTGTCTGATCAGTTAGCTGCAGTGCAGGTAGAGTACTGTAAGATGTCCCCTGTCTCTGATCTTACATAACAGTTCGTTCACATCTCAGGCGACCAAGAGAAAAGGCTCTAGGCTTCAGACTGCTCGCAAGGCAGTTTTATTTCAGATGAACAGTCCTGCAAAGCCGCAGTGGTGATGTGTACGCTGCATGCATAACTGTGTGTGTACTTGCTCTCTTGCTATGCGGTTTAGTGGGGGGTATGAGCGTGTGCGTGTCTGTGTGAGTTTCCTCCGTCCTACTTGGCCTGTGACATGACTGCTTAACTCAACCTGACAGCTCCACTGGTGGAAGCATTGCTAACAAGCCACAGTAACTTTCTGGGATCACACACACACACTCACACACTCTGAGATCCACAGAGCAGCCTCCCTGGAGTCCTGTGGTAGTGAAGCCTTCAGATATCACACACACTGTGGCTTGGGGTAGATTATATGGAAGGATGTCTTTCAAGATGAATCATTATTATTTGTGATAAAGTGCAGCAAAACCAACAACTAATACAGTGTGTCAAATTATTTTAACACGTACAGAAATGTGCACAGTTGTGCAAACCAACAGTGTGGACAGATTGTGGAGCAAACTATATCATGACGGTGGAAGCAGGGAGAGGCATATACATGCCTTGATCCCTGCCGAGTCGACCCACAACTGTTGACTGGTGTCAGTGCCAAAACAACTTTTTAGGAGCAATGCGCTCATGGTATAGATGGGGCGCATACATCTTAGTTCCTACCCTTTTCCCCCACCCTATCCTAAGGGAGTGCATGTACGTAGACACGTTGTGCCTCTCCACCTCTGTTCCTTACTTCTTACTTGCTACCCTTTCGCTCAACCTATCCTAAGGGAGTCCATGTATGTAGACACGTTAGTTTTTCTGCTATAGGCTTAGACTGTCGGGGGACACCTTACTTCTTCCTTCTGTCTGTCTATACCTGTGTACTCTCATGTTCAGAATAACCCAGCTTCCCCACATTTCTTTGTGGTGTCTATCTACGCCGGGATCCTGAGTCGAGGCTGATCCTGTTGCTGTGGTCGTGTGTCCTGGATCCTCTATCCTGAGCACTGGATCTGAGTCCTGGACTTCGAGTCGTGGCTGAACCTGTCTCTGCGGTCCTGCCTGACTCTCATCATACTACTTCCCTGATTGCTCCCACAAGATTGCTGACATCCTCGTGGATTCATCTTCTTATTATAGACACATGCATTTCCTAACATTGGTCTTTCCTAACATTTGGTCTACCTACGCTGTAAAATGTATTATCTCTTGGATTTACACACAACATCTATTGCACGTCTGTCCGTCCTGGGAGAGGGATCCCTCCTCTGTTGCTCTCCCTGAGGTTTCTCCCATTTTCCCCTTTAAACTGTGGGTTTTCTCCGGAAGTTTTTCCTTGTACGATGTGAGGGTCTAAGGACAGAGGGTCTAAGGACAGAGGGTGTCGTATTGTCATACTGATATTCTGTACAAACTGAAGTCCACTGAGACAAATGTAACATTTGTGATATTGGGCTATATAAATAAACATTGATTGATTGATTGATGTCAATCCACAACATGACGTTTTTAAACTTTGACAAGCAGTGAGCTCAAAGTAATTCTGAGTTTTAACTTAATTGAATATCCCCCAGTCACGGGAATATCAGTAAAAATAACCCAGGCTTTTGTAGAAAGGCAGAATATCAAGATTCTTGTTTGGTGTAAATAACACATTACTATTAAAGTCACCATACAAATATGTTATGGTGCTTTAACAATACACTGTTTGGGTCAGTTAAAAACCCTCCCAACTATTTGCCCAATGAGTTCAGTTTATTTAAATTAGTGTGAAAGCAACCAATCATGCACTGTATTGCATTGTATCCTCTTTGTAATTTCACACTTTATTAAGTTAATTAAATAATGCATGACATATCAATCCCCTTCCTGTAATATTGTTGAAAAAGACGGCTCTTCGTCATCCTGTCTACATGTTTGACAACATGCAGTTGATTTAAAGAGTCCTCTCCTGCTGATGTTCAGGTGTATATCAGTATGTAGTGTCTCTACTTTAAAGAGTTCTCTCCTGCTGATGTTCAGGTGTATATCAGTATGTAGTGTCTCTACTTTAAAGAGTCCTCTCCTGCTGATGTTCAGGTGTATATCAGTATGTAGTGTCTCTACTTTAAAGAGTCCTCTCCTGCTGATGTTCAGGTGTATATCAGTATGTAGTGTCTCTACTTTAAAGAGTCCTCTCCTGCTGATGTTCAGGTGTATATCAGTATGTAGTGTCTCTACTTTAAAGAGTCCTCTCCTGCTGATGTTCAGGTGTATATCAGTATGTAGTGTCTCTACTTTAAAGAGTCCTCTCCTGCTGATGTTCAGGTTGTATATCAGTATGTAGTATCTCTACTTTAAAGAGTCCTCTCCTGCTGATGTTCAGGTGTATATCAATATGTAGTATCTCTACTTTAAAGAGTCCTCTCCTGCTGATGTTCAGGTGTATATCAGTATGTAGTGTCTCTACTTTAAAGAGTCCTCTCCTGCTGATGTTCAGGTGTATATCAATATGTAGTATCTCTACTTTAAAGAGTCCTCTCCTGCTGATGTTCAGGTGTATATCAGTATGTAGTATCTCTACTTTAAAGAGTCCTCTCCTGCTGATGTTCAGGTGTATATCAGTATGTAGTGTCTGTACTTTAAAGAGTACTCTCCTGCTGATGTTCAGGTGTATATCAGTATGTAGTGTCTCTACTTTAAAGAGTCCTCTCCTGCTGATGTTCAGGTGTATATCAGTATGGTAGTGTCTCTACTTTTAAAGAGTCCTCTCCTGCTGATGTTCAGGTGTAT